GTCCAGAAGACCTACACAATTTTTTTCTTTTTGATTTTTTTACCTGGATTACTGAGATGCATCAGGACACTTAGCTCAAAGTAAAACAGGATGTGACATGAAAGGGGAACTCTTTAAAAATAAAAACTGGGGTTTTTGTTTAMTGAAACAAAATTATTTGAACGCTGTCTCTTCTTTTTCTATCTGATATTGACTCAAAATAATCTAAAGAAACATCAAAATAGCTGTTGTAGTACCGCACTCACATTCAGGCATTCCCCTTTGACATCACTTCCTGTTATTTTATGCGCAAATATCTCAACAACTGTTCGTCTCAGAGGCAAGAAAATGTTTTTGCTATATTTTATCAATGTTATCTTTCCAAAAACGCATTCGTATTCATTACAGATATCCGATCTCACATGTGCTTTAATGTCACACCACATACCTTAAGAGCCCCTGAATATACAAAAATACAAATATGCCGTATTTGTAATATTTTCCTCTCAAAGATGAACATCTATACTTACTCCTCACTGTAATGTTGACTTGCTCCATGAGAGTGTTGTCCAGATGTTTTGCGGTACAGATGTACGGTCCACTGTGCTCAGCTGTCACATTATGAATGATAAGCGAAGCTGCWCCGGTGTCGTTCTTTAAGGTTGTGTTGGATCCATGTTTAGCCCAGGTGATGAAGGACAGAGGCCAGCTGTCAACGCTGCAGGTCAGCATCAGAAGTCCTCCCTCCGTTACAGACGACTCTCCGGTGATTTTCAGGCTCCTCTGATCTTTAAAACAAATTCAAAATGTTTTCTGTTGATTTACACATCAACTATGAAAAAAAAAATATATATATAATATTTAGGAACAGTTCTAAGGTTTACTTACAAATCACATTTATATTAATGCTGTCAGTTTGCTGTACAAATATACTGCCCAGAATCCTCCACCGAGAAACTTGCTGTTTCAGCGACATTTCGTTTACAAACTGTTACTTTTGAGGTTAAACAAATGTTCATAATTAATTTCAATAAATTACAAATTAAGAAGGGCATAGAAATTTCTCTGTTTCGTATCAAAAAAAATTGTACCGTGAGACTAAAGTATCAAACCGAATCGTGAATTTTCTGCATCGTTGCACACCCAATAAAAGAAGTCATTTATTCCCAGTGCAACAACTATTCTTAAATGACATCTAACTATGGCATAGAAAGAGTTTTATTTAATGCACAAATTGTTGATGTTGTGGTTGTATGTTTTATTTTATGGGTAGAGAGCTAAAGGAAAAATTCCACCTTGGTGGAAAATAAAGTTTTTTTTTTTTATCATTTATCGTGTTGCTTTTGCCTCTTTGAAAATGCTTACACTCTAATGCCCCTTTTCCACTAGTGCCACTTAGTGTAGTGTTGGAACGGTCGGTGTAGGTACGGGTCGGACTGGTTGGTTTTCCACTGATGTTCCAGTCCGGTTCCAATGGGTGTGTATTGGGCAGTTAGTGGAGGTGGTTTTTAGGTATTTTGARTAAAAAATAATGGGCAAAAGGAGAGATGGAAACACATTTGAAGAATAACTTTTGAAATTTTAAACATTTGCAAAAATTTAGCCAATCAGTGTTGAACAGTGTTCTGACGTCGCATTTTGGTGTCAGCTGGGGCCTGTTGGAACCACAATGAAGTAGGTACTAGAAAAAGTGCCGGTTCTATGGATCTGGCCTAATGGAAATGGCTTGGAACTGTACCGAACCGTACCGACACTACACTAAGTGGCACTAGTGGAAAAGGGGCATAARAACACTGTTAAAGTTTGCATTTAACTGACTTATTCAGTTTCACTGTTGAGGTTCTGTTCAAATGAATGTCTGGCGCATCTGATTGCAGGACGTTTGTCTCCCCCTGTTGGTATTTAAGGTAATTACATAAACTCATTTTGTTTTTCTTTTTGACTGTTGAAGCTCCAGATGCTCATCTACATACRTGCACAGGTTGTGAAAGTACAGCTGCCTAAATATATGTATGTGCAGTTTCATTTCAGTTCTTTTGTTCTTTACCAAGTACATTTATAGAAAATAAGAAAAAAAAAAGGGTTTTGTTTTCAGGTCAGATGTTCAAACTCCTAAATCATTGGGGGCTCCTAAAAATGCCATCTTTTTYACTGCTTCTTTGTGGACAACCATTCTTTTTAAATGTTTGGTTTTAAAATCAAGTCAACACTTAATTTCATGTGTGACATTAATGTGATGATATAATCCCTCCAGATGGATGTAAAACTTAATGTTTCTGTTGAGATGAAGAATAAAAGTGGTGTGTTTTACTCACAGGTTACATTCAGAGTCACTGTCACCTCTGCAGACSTGTTATTGTGGCAGGTGACCCGACAGGTGACCGCAGCGCCGTGATGTTTAGCTGAGGGGTTAAACGTCTGAGTTTTTGTCTTGTTTCCTGCAGTATAAGAGCTGTTTTCTCCTGGATGAACCCRGGTCCAGATGAACTTGGGATCAGAGCAGGAGTCAGGAGCGCTGCAGGACAGAGTGGCCTCTTTTCCTTCAGTCAGTGGAGGAATCTTTAATATGGGGTTTGCACCTGGATCTGCAGAAGACAGATACAGCAGGGAGAAAACAGAAAGCGAAGRTAACAATCAAGGAACGTAAATGTATTTCACTTCTATATATGGTCAAAATTTCAAGCTGTAAACAGAGGCCATGCTTCAGTTTTGCTGAAGTTTCTTCGCTAAAAGCCTGGATTAAATGTTTTGCTAAGGCTGATTAATAAAAGAAACTGTTTGCTGCTAAATGTTGATTTATCATAATGTTGAAAATACCTTTCTTAAAGGCACACTGAGCATTATGGTGCTGTCAGAACTTCAGGAATGTTTCATTTTAGCAAAAAAGCTGCTTGTTGTACCTGAGCTGGAGCTGATGTCTGTCGCTGTGAGGAGCAGCGTCATCCACATGAGAGTAATCATCCTCATTTAGTGAATTAAAGTTTCAGCCACTTTCTTATCAACAGTRAAAACCTGCAGTAAAGACAGGATGTCTGGTTGATCAAGCAGGGCGAGGAACAGCTTCACAGCTGTGAACACAAATGTTAACACAGGATGTTCAAATAATGGAAACTTGTATTCCGTTTGACTGATTCAGTCACTTTATGGTTTATAAAAAGCATCTCAGAGTAACGTGTTTGTTCTTTTCTTCACCAAGACCARTGTGTTTTACTCAAAAGCAAACAAACCATTTGAAATACTGTATGTTAACTGTTAACTATTAAAAAGTATATTGAAACTTATCAGTAAAAGAAAAAAAGGCAACAATAAATACATTTTCATGTTGGGTTTTACCTGTATGTCTTTTTCTTCAGCGATTTTGTGTCCGAGTCTCTGTGTGACGCTGACGGTTTCTCTTCCTCCTCCTTCTTTGTACGAGTGCAGTTCTGCAACATTTGCAACATAATGTTGCAGCAACTGCTAACACTATAGCATAATGTTAATTTAATGCTAACAGAACAAGCCAATCCTATTTGCTGTTTTTAAAAAAGGGGAAGTAGATTTTTTTTCTATAAACATGAGGAACACCTTCAGAGAAACTAAAGATCGTGTGTCTGCTCTGACGATGTCAGTGCTATGACTTTAAGTTAACCTCTTTCCCATTCAGCATATTCTATTTTCTTTTTATATTTTTTGTGCATTATGTGTACTGTTTAAACAAAAAAAATCCGAAGCATTGAAACTCTGCAACAAAATAAGAATCTGTCATTCTAATACTGGTGTGGGAGACAAAACAAGACTATTTTTATTCATTTTATTTTGAATTAGTCACCTGTGTGCAGAAACTTCGTGCAAACCTGCAGCTTCTGGTCTCAGCAAAGTCACTGTTGCGAGTATTTATGCACTTCTCAAAAAGTGCACCACTTTATTTTCAGCATGTTAGTTTCCTGCTTTCACAGTGAGCAACGTATATTTTGTATCACCTAAGATAACGTGCGTTGTGAATTGTATCAATAAAGAAAAACCTCAGTTGAACTGAATCGTAATTTTTAATTTCAGCTTTTATTACAAGTGTTTCTGTATAAATGTGGATTTTCTATATTTGGTGCATGAAGAAAGGAGGAAGTATTAAGAATATTGCTCAAGATCCTTCAACATTTAGACAAACATTCAAACCACAGCAGGCTCATTCTTTCCATTAACACAGCATTTATTTAACAGCTTCATTAACTTCATTACAAAAAAAGTGAACTAACTTTAGATCACAAATAGTATCTTAAACAAATTAAATCAGCATTTCTTTAGATGTACATAAGCATGCATTCAGAATTTTGGCATTAAAAACATAGAAAACCCATAATGATCAACTGAAAAGTGAGAAAAATAGATATATAACAGGGGTGCAACAACACATGTATCAAACCGTTCAATATGGTGCTTTAGGTTCAATACACACTATGCTTGGAACAATGCAACAATACAGATTTTTTAAATTTATTTTTTCAACTTGTCTTCTGAAGATGCTCTGTGTTGAAGGCTCAGTGGATCTGTGTTCGACTACTCCACCTATAGGCTGCACTGTTGAGCGCACATCCTCTGAGAAACTTGCTGATTGAGCAACATTTAATTAAAAAACTGTACTTTTGAGGTTAAACAAATGTTCATAATTAATGTCAATAAATTACAAGCTAAGAAATTTTTACTTCAGCTTACACCATTTCATACAGATGAGGTTGTAGGTTGGCCAAAATGTATATTAATACACATTTTTTTGATTGTTATGTCTGTTTTTGAAAGAAAATCTGTTGCAAAATACATTGAAACCTGCATTAGTTTAAACATTAATAAACAATGTGACGTTAAAATGTTTCTCCATTCATGTTTTGTATTACTGTGTGTATCACAGAGCCATCTGCAACAGGTAAGATGTTCATTATTCATAATTTTGCCACAGAACCCCACTTTAAACAATCTAAACCATATTTCACCTGTCAGTAGTTCAGATATTTTTAAGCTTTATGAATAACTGTCTTCTGATAAGATAAATGTAATAATAGAGAAAATTCCATGATACCTGTACAAACTAAGCTAATCCAAGTTGTGAAAAAAAAAAAAACACCTAAAAACACTTTTCAATTTTTTTGAAATAGAAATACAAATACGCAAAAATTTTCATGAGCACCACTGAATGCAAAACATTTTTTTTGGTTTGTTTTTGTGGCTTCTTCCGCTAATAAATTTAAATAATGCAGGAAAAACAGTCTGTTCTTTAACATCACTGTTGTACAAATTTCAGATCTCATCTAATATTTCATCTGCACTGGAGTACAGGGGAACATCCTCCCTGACCACCTCCTCAGCCAGCAGGCCCAGTTTTACCTCCTCATCCTCCTCTTTTATCTCCTCCTCCTCCTCAGCACTGGCCTCCAACTTTTCACCCTCTGCCCCGTCGTCGTCTTGTCTCTCTCGAGTTTCTCCTTTTTTAATCTCAGCGTACTCTGTCTCTGTGGTTTCCTGCGCCTTCGCCCCATCTGCAGGATTCCTCTCTTTCATTGCAGAAAAGTCAATGTTGGAATACACCRTCTCAGAGCACACGGTCTCTTTAGTTGGTTCGTTGGGTTCAGCTCCTCCTTGTGCCGCCTCTGGGTCCTGGATCCTGTCTTCATGGACATCCTGGATCCCGTCCTCATCCCTCTGGCAGATAAAATGTGTAAAAATTCATCAAAGATAAGATCGGTTGAAATTATTTTTTGCAGCTTCATWAACAGTAAATACCTTAGAAAAAGTTTCAGTGGTCACCATCTCCGGACATTCGTACAGATTCCTTGACTTCTTTCTGTTTTTGTGAAGCAGTCTAAGCAAATAAAAAGTAGCATCCAATTAAAAGAAAGTTATGATTTTTATTTATTTATTTTATTTTTTGCCACTTCAGTAGAAAACAAAAC